TGAATAATGACTTTAAAAAATAATATAAAATAGTGTGCAAATACTGATAACAGTGCAAATGTTTGCAATATAAAAAATAAATGAAAAATGTAAACATCTATGTTTAGTGAACTTTGCAGTGTTGCTCTGTGGTGCAGCTACGACACGTAGCAAAGTTTACACACTATGTCTACTTGATCCACGTCTGACTCCGCGAACCCATAATGTTTCCACACCACTGAAGTTTTTTTTACCTCTCTTTTCAACCAACGGCAGTCACTCTCCTCTCCAAATAACTTCTGCTTAGCTTTCCGAGCTTCCCTCGGGTCCTCTTAATTGTTGTGATGCGTGTTCGAAATGCAGAGAGGTGCGCTGATTTGCCACACGGAGCAGCGCGAGAGTAAAGCACGAGGGAGGGGCTAATAATCGGCTCAGTCATTTTTAATGATCGTTGAAAGCCCAGATCGTAATCGTGATTAAAATTCGATTAATTGAGCAGCCCTAGTGTAAATGTTAATAATTAATGCCAATATTCATTCAATGGCCAACCTTTTTATATGAATCTAAATGTACAAAATAATGTTACTAAAGCCTTGAAATAATGGTACACTTTAGATTGCCGCGTGCTAGCTGCTGTGACAGAAAGCAGGACGGCTGATGACAGCCTTCAGTAAGCTGCTTGATTTAAACATCACATCAGATTAAGTTAACAGCTAATCTGCTTAAACACACTTTTATTTTAACTTCTGTAGCTTTTCACTGTGTAAGATAAACAGTGGTGGATGGGAGCAGCTGCAAAGTTCCCTTTTCTTTACGCTAGAGCTTGTTGAAAAGCTGGTTTCATTCAGGACTTCCACCATCTTTTTCCCAGTAAAGATTTTTACTGTGACTATAACAACAAACACTGCTGTTTTGGACACTTAAAAAAACGATAATTTAGTGCAGTCCTGGAGCCATTTTGTTAAATGCAAAAAAAAAAAAAAAAAAGAGAGAGAGAGAGAAAGGCCTCATAACTCCATCGAAAGGTACCACTGGGATTTGTATCTCACAAGTCCCAATTGCTCCTTTCGATACCAAGTTACCTGTGAAGGGATCCGCTACACCAACAGGAGCACCTGGGTTTGGGCCTGATCCTGGGATGTAGCGACCAGTGCCTGTGAAGAAAAAACACAGCTGTGAAACTGCACTTACAGGTCAAGTTCAGACTATGAACACCTCTGAGTAAACAAACTATACCTGTAAAAGGATCAGCTCCAAATCCTGCAGTATCACTGGAAGAACCAGGGATATAGCGAGCTCCTCCTGTCAAATAAAGAGGCGAAACACATTATACATTCAATCTAAGATCCCTTAATCGTTCCAGTGAAATTAATCTAAATGTACAGCAAAGAAAGCAAAGAAGCCAGCAGCAGTATCCATCTTTTGGACCTCACCAGTGAAGGGGTCACCACCAGCGGGCTGGGCTGGTCCCACCACGTGCCCTTTGGTGTTCTCAATGATAAAATTGGCAACCTGGTCGAGGAACATGGGGCTGAGGTCATTCTTCTGCAGAAAGTTGTGCGCTGTCAGCCAGGGGTCGTCTGTCACATTGTAAGGCAGCTTCATGGATGGCCCTCCCTCATTCACATCAATGCTGAACACGTAGTCATACTCCTGCACGCAGATGGGGGGAGAGGGGGGCACATTAATGACAGCTCATATGCGACGTCCCGCTTACTAACTCTGAGCTTGTAGCCTCACCTTTCCTTCATACATGACACTCTTGGAGGTCTGTTGGTTTGAGCCTCCGACCACGTCTCCGATTTTCATCCAGCGGCCATCACTGACGCTCCACTGATATGCCTCCACCTTCTGTCCATCTTTGATCAACCGTGTCTGTCCATCGCGATTCCCTGTTGTAAACAAAACCACCCTGATGCACAGAGAACAGCTTCACCGTTTTATATGACAAAATAAATAGCAGACTGCTGCATTACCAGGCTCGTTCAGGTGTTCTTTTCCAGGAAGATCCTCCAGTTTGATGTCACCAAGATCCCCGGTCTTGGGGTCAATAGTGGCTTTGGAAAGTTCATCCTCAAAGGCCTGCAGGTCTTCTGCACTAGCCATGCGGTCCTCAGCTTCTGTAAACACGCGGATAATGCCATCGCTGTGGGCAGAGGAGAAGCTTCTGGTTTAGCCACAGAACTACTTACTGCTTCATTCAACATTTGTTTGAATGCAGGACAGATGCGACGAATGAGGACAGCGAACACTGTCTTTAATGGGCTTTTAAATATTTATGGTGTAACATGATCAAGGAAATCACTATGACCTGACTGCATATTAACATGCCAAAAGCAGCTCTATTACCTGGCTCCGACTACTATGTCACCATTAGGTAAAATACAGCAGCACCACACAGACTGAGCAGGCAGGCGGATGGTCTGAGAGCACTCTCCTTGCCTCCATATCCTCAGACTCCGGTCCTCCCCTGTGCTTATAAAATCTAAGAGAAAAAAAAAAAAAAGGGTGAGGGCAGGGTGTAGGAAGTAGCTACCATCTCAGAGTATGAAAATGGAAGCCGGCTGAATAAACCACAGAGCATCACTGACTGCTGGTTTCAAGTCTCTCAGTTCTATCCCTTGTTTTTAAATATTGATACAATCAACAAACCTTGGCTATTGGGGAAGACAGCTAAGCTGTAGATGAAGTTGGTGTGGCTGTAGTAGACCTGTACGCATTCGCCTGTCACCAGCCACCTTCTGATACTTGTGTCATTGCTACACGAGAAGAACTCAGTGTTGCTGATCACTGCCAGGTCTCTCACACAGTCCTCATGACCTATAATGGAAGGGAATATTTTTTTAACCATAACTTAACCCTAAAAAATATGCAGCTACCAATTTAAATTTTTACTTTGACAAAGTTATGGCTTTGTCCCATATCCTACAATACTGTTGGTTTATATTATTAGCCACGTAATCAAAGACAGACAACCAATCATGCTACTCATCAGCCAGTCTACTTTTTGTATACACACGCACACCCCCTCCCCCCCCAAAAAAATAAAATAAAATAAAAAAAAACATGTCCAATATACACCTGCATATCCTCACCTGTAAACGTCTTCTCACATCGTCCTGCTTTCCAAAGCTTTATGGTCTTATCTGCTGATCCCGACAGCATAAGGCCTTGTTCAGGTAAAATAGCCACTGCCCACACCGCTGCAGTGTGGCCCTGAAACAAAATTAACAAGCACAAAACATGTTCTGTCAATTTTTTCAAAACAATGGAGACACTAATCACCATCCAAGCAAGCTGAAGTGTAGAGGACCACGTACCTGCAAGGTCATCATGCACTTCTCATTGAGCCAGACTTTGGCTGTAGTGTCCCAGGAACCACTCAAAAGTGTCCCAAACTTCCCAGACGACAGAGTGCAAACTGTGGAGGTTTAAAGTTAGAAAGCCAGGAACCAGAAACACTGTGACGAGTAACACTGCAACCAGTTAATCCTCACTACTACAAAAATCCAAACAGCGAGGACAGCACAACTCACCTGTATTTTTGTGACCCTTGAGAGTGAAGAGGGGCTGCGGTCGATCCAGTGAGAAAACACAAATATTATTATCGTTCCCGCCTGTAGCAACAAGTCCCCGAGGGTATGTTTCACTGGGTGCGATGATGCATACACAGGATACAAAATTTGAGTGTCCAGACATAGAGTGCATCTCTGTGAAGCCTTTGTCTGAGCTGTCAGAGGGAGAACAGGACGAAAGTTAACAATTATTACTGAGGGAAGAAGTTAGGTCCCTTTGGCTCTAATCTGTAAGAAGGATAGGCAAATTAACAAAAATAAACACTCCGAATCGGTTTCACTTTCGTGTTTCGTAAAAGAACAGTTGCAGCTGAATGAATGACAAAGCTAATTTGAGCAAACGTTAGCACTGTGCTTTTTGGCTAACTTAGCTACTAACCATTTTTATACATATGAAATCAGAAATAGTAAAATATTCAGTAAGGCGTGATTTGGCTTGACACTTTTCTTGTCCGGACAAGTCAATCTCTTTGCGCAGAGTGACTTGTACCCTGAAATTAATCGTAGCCAGGCAGCAGTTTCTGAGCAGCAAGCTAGCGCTAGCTACCTTGAGTTTGGTACCCAGACTCTTCCGGTCCGGTCTCTGGACACAGACACGAACGCTCCCTCTGGAAAAACAGTAGCGGCGACTCCCCTGACGTCCATCTCGTGGCCCGGGATTGAACACCTGAGTTTGTACGAATTGAATGATGCCATTTTTGCTCCAACAGCACAATGAAACTACTGTGGCACTGTTAAGCTATGCGGCGTCGCTGTCAACAAACACCAGCCGCTATTGCTAGCGGAAGTTGAATTACGTCATTATTAGGAGTGGCGCACCTTTCAAACTAATGTTTAATTATTTGTGTTGAATATAAATTGTCTTACGTTTATAACATTAACATTAGAGTAGTGTTTTTCCAACTGTATTTTAGGTTTGTATTTTCGAATATATTTTATCAAAATGTATTGACCACAGTTGACCAGAGGGCGGCAGCAGAGCGAGGCCGCCACCATCCTGCTACATCAGCAATATCAAGCTGCCGACTACGCGGACCGTGCAGGAAACTAGGAATGTTGACGTAAAAATAACAGCTCAAACGTAAAAAGTGGCGCTGTTTAAAAAACAAAAATCATATTCGCTTTATCTATCGCGTCAAACGAGAGTTTAATGCTAATACCAAGCTTTTATGTAGACTTAGAACAGCTTAATAAACACGTAAGTCTCGCTAGCAAATGACTTGTGATTTTATTTAATCAAATCATTGCCTTAATGAGTAATTTAACATTTTCGGTATCTTGGTTTGTTTTTAGTTTTCCATTATTTCGTTTTATGCAATATGAAATAGAATAACTTTATTAACAATTTCGATGCTTCCCAGGACAAAAATGCAAATAATGCTTGTTCCGGTTTTATTTTTTTAGATTGGAAATGTGACCGGAAATGTGATTTTTTTTTCATTGCAGGTAGCAAAACAGGTCCCACAGAGGCGATGAGGAAGTAGTCTCACTGATTCGTTCGCTGACAAAAAAGTAAGTGTCTTTTCATTTTAGCTCACGAGATGTATATTTGACAATAAACGCGTTGGTTCTTTTTTACGCGACTGAAGTAAAGAGCAGCGTTGGCCCGTAGATGTTAGCTAACACAGTCAGGGTTTTAGAGCCCAGCCCATCACGATTGTGAATGTTGTCAGCAGTATGAATGATGGAGCAGGCGAAGCTTTACAAATAACGAGGCTCTGGTAGTGGTTACGTGGTTACGAGGGCTGTTCGTACTGTGTTCTAGCAGTGTTACTGTACTAGATAATGCTGATAATAAGATTCAGTGTAAGGTTTGGGGGGTAGATTGCTCAGGGTATCAAGTGCCTGGTTGATAAGCATCTGCTTTGTATTACACAGAGGTTAGGCCTTTGTTTAAGACGCATTCCACGACCATTTCCACACAGTATCTGATATGTCCTTGTACGTACAAATCTTATAAAGCTATCCTTAATCCTTCTGTAGTTAAGTTGTAGATCTATTATAATGTGCAGGGCAAAATGCAGGTCTCACTGATGGGTATTTTGCCTGAAACACATCATTTCAAGTATCTGCAAACTAAAGAACTGCAAAACATGCTTGTCAGTGTCTTAAGTTTGTGTGTGTGTTCGCGTTTGGTACACTGTAGGTTTCCCAGAATTCCCAGCAGCCATGAAGCTTCGATTGCACTTCGTGGTGGACCCTATGGGCTGGCTGTGCATCAGTGTGGTATTTGGGATCTGGCTCTACAACACCTTTTTTGTTCCCAAACTGGTTCTGTTTCCACACTACAATGAGGGACACATTCCTTGGGCCATTGTTGTTTGTGAGTTTCCTTACCTTTTGTGTTGACACGTGAAAAACTGAAAATGAGTTTCTTTGGAAATTGGAAATGAATGTGCCCGATCACACCTCATCAGTGGAATTAAAACACACTGTATTTCTTTAGGTTACTACATAGCATCAGGACTCTGCCTAGCAGCACTGTTCAGAGCTTCCACAGCAGATCCAGGCCGTCTTCCTGCGGACCCACACATACCTCATGCTGGTAAATGCTTTTCTCACTGCTTACCGCTTGTTTGTATATGTCCAGTTTATCTGTTACTCCGGTACCGACTAGCAGTATCAACTCTCTTCGGATCGATGATTGTTACATAGTGTTTGTTGTCTTTGTGTTTCAGAGAGAGAGCACTGGGAGTTGTGCAATAAGTGCAACTTAATGAGACCTAAACGGTCGCACCACTGCAGTCGCTGTGGCCACTGTGTGCGCAGGATGGACCATCACTGTCCCTGGTAATCATACACGAACACCTACTCTCATGCTCCCATCCATTCTTGTTTATTCAATTACTGAGATTTGAAAGCTTATTTAATGACTGAACATATCATAGCATGCCATGTGTGTCCACTGCTGTGATAAAGAAATATGTGATCACTTGCTAAATGCACTTTATTTCCTTTGCAGGATTAATAACTGTGTGGGAGAGGACAACCACTGGCTCTTCCTGCAGCTGTGTTTCTATGCTCAGGTCCTCAGCTTATTCACGCTGGTGCTGGACTTCTGTCAGTACTATTACTTCCAGCCCCTGACAGGACTAGACCAGGTAGGTCCATGGGATTGTTTTTAAAAGTTGGCCTCTACTCATTTCCAGCTTCATAATTTTATTCTCTGCTGAGTAACTTTAAACATAGGGATATCTGCCCACACCTACATCACAGAGAGCCAAGAGTATAAAAAATGACTTTTCTTCTACAGCGATTGATGTTCATACTCTGACCTCATTATTTGAAACTTTGGCCATGTTTATTATGAGATTTAGCTACACTAATGGAAAACTATAAACATTCATATTTGACAGTGGGAAAATCAGCAAATGGAACTTTAAGATGATAAGATAAGAGGTTTTCACAACAAAGGGCACTGTTCTCTTTCACTCAGGAAAAGTTCACTACACGTCACGAACTGGCTCTGCTGCGAATCTCTGCGCTAATGGGCGTGGTCATGTTTGGAGGCATGTCTTCTTTGTTTTACACACAGATGACTGGCATCCTCTCAGTGAGTACTGAGTAAAGACTTATTTTCTCGTTTCAGCTGACAGTTTAAGTTCTCCACCCATTTCCTGCTGCCATCGTCTTGATGCGATTATGTCTTTAACTAATTAAATGCGGCTAATATTTCCAAGCTAAGTGTTGAGTATCAGTTTGTAGGATCAGTAAATGCGTCATTCACAGCGTTATTCAGCTTGCATGTCCTCTTGAAAGCAAGTTGAAGACAAAAAAGAAGAAAAATGATGTAGCAGCTTCAGACAACATGACATGGTGTACAGAAATAAAACGATCAATGCCAGTAATGCAGCGATCGATAGGAAAGAATCAGGGGAGAAAGTGTGCACATGAGTGCGTTCATATTACTATAAACCACAACAGCAGCATGTTCATCTGCCATACCTCTGCTGACATGAATAAACATTTCATTTATTAAATAGTTTGGCAGGTCTGTGAAAAGATGTTATCTGAAATGTTTTAAAATGAGTCACTCATATTGCATTTTTCTTGTCTTACAGGATATGACCACCATCGAGAAAATGGCTCACTTTTCAAATGAAACGTAAGTTCCGTTTCTTCTTATAGCAGGAATAGCTGCGTCAGAGGAATAGGCCGATCTTTTGGGAGATAAATCTATCGTATGTGTAGAGACCGGCCATTTACATAGCACACCACAGGCGAAGCAGAAGGGAACTTGTAGTTTCAAAACGGGAGTGACAGATCAGTGGGGGATTTTTCATTTTTTATTTTTTGCAGTGTCACTCTCCTTCTTTTATATGCAATCTATGATCCTTATTCACTTTTTGGCAGACAGTTTGGTACAAAAAGGATTTTTACTTGAGCAATTACCTGTTTTTTCTTATCAGATATGGCGCAAAGAGATCCTGGCAGTGGGCGCTAGCTGAAGTTTGTGGCACTCGCTGGAAACTCCTTTGGCTCATCCCACTCCGAAGCAGACAGCCACTTAACGCCAGCCACCAGTTCCGCTCACACGTGTAGGCCGGTAGCGCTCCCACCTGCACAGATGGTAGGAGCTGCCCTGATGAAACACTGTATACACACCTAAGAATCCATCTGCTCGCCTTCACCATCCTCTTTTGTGCTACGAGAGCTGGGCAGCAGTCTTGGTTTTTCAGTGGATATGCCAAGTTTTTTGTTTTTTTTCCCTTTGCCTTTCTCTACAAGGCCCAGACTGGCAGAAAACAGGGTCAAGAAACACCTTTGGGAGTAATGGGAAATGTTGTGTTTTTAACTCACTGTGACTGCTACTTTAAGCATTTGGAAACCACTTTTTCTGGCTAATTGCAAAAGAAGGATGGAGGTTTTCATCTGAAAGCAGCTGGCAAAGGAACCCCCCCTCTCAGGTTACTTTAATAAAGAGCCTTGACTACTGACCTTTAATCATCTACAGACAGAACAACGGTTATTTTAGTGTGTCTATTAGACTGGCGTTTTTTTGTAAGAAGTTTGTGCCTTGTTTCTTTTAGCGGTCCTCTTAATTTGTGTGTGTTTGTTTGATGTTTTCCAGCTACTTCTAGTTTGGAAGCTTTTTTTTATTTTTTTGTATTGTGTTTGTTTATTTATAATTTTTTGTAAAGGGATCTGCCTATTATCAGCGATGTTCTTTTGCTGTTTATAATTTGAGGATTTGTAAATCATTTGGGGTTTGTTGTTGTTTTTTTAATTTGGGATTGTTCTATGAAGAAGTACTCTGTGAACCATTAATTTACGAAGAATGAAGCAGAACAAAGTTGATAATTTGAATGACAATTTGTAGTCCTTTTTATAACAAATAGGCAGCCTGGTATGAACCTGTGTTATGGAGAGCAGTTAATTCCCACTTTCCTATGGCAAAAATCCACATTAGAAACGAGCTTATACAATCAATGTTGTATGTTGTGGTCAGATTGCTGCATAATCAAGAATATAACATTCCTTGGCCAATTAATGTAATGACTTGATTACAACATTGTATTACTTTGTTTTAGAAGGCATTTAGGTGTCATGTTCTGCCTTCAAAGATAACTTAAATCAAGCTGCCTTTCTTAAATGCCTAGTTTAACCTCATGCCCCACTTATGTTTGCAAATGTGAAACTATAGCTGGCAGCTAGTTAGCTTAGCTTAGCATGATGTAAACTGTGTAAACATAAACAACTAACATTTTTTTAAATACTTAAAAAAATATATTTTAAGTCAGTAAGATAAATCCTAGCAGTTGGTGAGATTTTCTTGGATAACACCAAGCTAACAAGCTAATTTTAGTTTATGGTCTTAAAACTAGGTAGCTTTAAGATCACAGCTACTGGCTAGTTTTGCTTAACGCTAAGCTAAACCAGGTAGCTACTGGCTAGTTTAGCGTAATGCTAAGCTAAACTAGGTAGCTACTGGCTAGTTTAACTAAGTTACATGGCTTGCTTATAGCCTCATAGTACCTGAAGGATGTAGAAGTGATATCAGTTTTGTTTACACCATGATTTTCCCCCAAATGTTAGCCTTTTCCTTTAAGTCAGTCTGTTTAGCTAAAATGTATGTACAGTACAATCTGTTAGCAAAAACAACTTGACCAATTTTTTTTTAAATTTAGACTGTTGACAAAATAATTTCTAATTGATATTTACCATGTTTTTGCTGCTGCTGCTGTAGGTCTTAAATGGATCTGAACACACAAACTTTGTTAATGCTGTCAGCAAAACTGGCAGATTAGCCTACTTGTGGTGACTTACAGCTAGTTAACCCTTGACAAGACATTGGCAATTTATTTATGGTGGTTTTACTGTAAGTGCGTGGAACTGTTTAGAGATTTTATTGACTTCATTAATGAGATACTTAAGGTAATGATAGTACTAGCATTGCGTGGTTGTCTTCAATACTTGGCAATCTCTTAGCTAAACCTGTATGTAAACAAAGCTTGTCACGTGTTGGGAAATAGTACAATATCCAAGTAGTTGTAAGTGCCTGTCTACTTTATTTCATTGTTATTTACTGTCACAGTCCATAATCATCGTTGTATGGCTGTCTACAAGCCAAAGACCTGGGGAAATGTTGCAATAGTCATCAAGCATACAGTAAGTGCATGTTTCACCAAATTTCTGAAGGTAGCGGTTCAATATTATGCACTGAATTTCACATTCGCACACAGTCTCGTTTTATTGCAATCGTGGTACTTATGAAAGGAAGTCTTTTTTCATATTTATGATGTGTTCAGGTTGTTTGCATTTGCATGAATGTGTATTATTGATGACTCTGTGATTTTTTTATAATGCATATTCAGGTTCCTGGGTGTCTGTGTGTGTTTTTATTATTATTTTGGGGTCGGTTTAATGAGGAGATACATTTGCATGATTGGCACTTTTTTGTTTTTCGTTATCATTTTTGAAGCAATAAGCATTGTGTATCAGTAAAGCCATCTTTTAGTGAAATTCCGACATGTAGTGTGAAATTTATGAACTAGTGGATGGGTTTCAGTCATCACTCCTGAACCAGTAATTACACGACTTGAACATCTGTCCTTATTTCAGTAAACCTCTGCAGCACACACTGGTGTGTGTTTATTGTCAGCTAATAGTTAGTTAAGTAATCGATTAACAATATGTTGGCCTCTACAGCTCATGTTGATTATACTGGAATAGCTGAAAGGCTCTCATGAATTATTTTGAGTCGAAGGTTTAAATATTTCTAATATGTTTACTTTTTTCCCCTCTCAGCTGCCATCTGGCACCCCCAGATCTCTAAATCCATGCATCTTGTTCATTTTCAGTTTTTTGAAATGAGTTTACAGGCCTTATTTTGTTTAATTCTGACCTCAAACAGTGGAACTGTTATGTTTTGTAAGTTAATTTGTTACTCCATAAATATGTTTCTTTATGTTTAGGAAGCCTATGACAAGTTGCCAATTTATTATGTTACAAAACTACTATTGTGATTATAAAAGGTATATAGGTATTCATATTCAAATAAATTTGATTCTGAACAAATTTGTGTAATTTGTTTTTTTGTGCTTTTTCACCTACATCTTTGCTTCATCTGAAGCCTCTTCTTTTTTTTTTAGAATTAAAGTTAGTTGAGAAGTTAGTGTAGCACATGATGGCTAAATGGCATTTATCAAAGGAAAACGTTGCTTTTAAGAGATGGAAAGGAGGTTTTTATTTTTTTGTTTACCAGAGATCAAAGAGGCCAGATTACTTCAAGCTGATAGGAAGGCAGGAGTAACTGAAATAACCGCTTGTTCCAACCATGGTATGCAGAAGACCATCTCTGAACCTTTTAGCAGATGGGCTAGTGCAGGAACTGAGCCCACAATCCACAACACAATTGGACAACAGAAGATTGGAAAATGTTGCTCGGTCTGACTAGTCTCAATTTATAATGCAAATTTGACATAAACAGCCTGACAGCATGGATCCATCAACCATTCAGGCTCTTGTTGTTGGTGTAATGGTGAAGGGGATATTTGCTTGCTTTACTTTAGGCCCATTTATACCAAATGGGAATTGAAGATTTAGCACCACAGTCAACCTGGATATTGGTTAGTACTACCAGTACCATAGTGAGATGGCATCCCCTGCCACCATATCTCAATCCAATGGAGCACCTGTGAGATGTGGTCAAATAGGAGATTCACATCATGGATGTGATTCAGCATTCATTGCAATAACTTCCCAGTGCAAGTGAAAGAGCAATAACTACACATAGAAAGTGTTAGAATAAACAGTCAGATTGATTACACTACACCATACTGTACAAATGCTCCATTACAAATAAAATACATTTTCTCAGGATTCTATTTGTAACTTTTACTATGAAAATGTCCTTTGAGTATTATTATATATAACTGCTAAGCGGCTAATGTCAACAGCATTAATGGGTTAGCAGCACTCTGACGTTGCCACTGATCGAGATGGAGCTGATGCGAATAAAGTTAAACTCTGATCGTTTTTGTTAAGCTGATTTTTGAACCCCGAAGCCAGCTTTGAGGTTTATATTTGTAGAATCATGAGGTGATTAGTGGATATTCCTTCTGTTTTTTCCCTTTTTTTTTCTCTTTGACCCAAAAACAAAACAAAATGTGTTAAGAATATGAGTTAAGAATAACTCATAGACATCTGAGATATGATGAGATGGTGAATCCAGTGAATATGCAACTGTTATTATATTGTATGTATTGAGTTTATTGTAAGTTTTGGATAAAATAAAAAAAAATCTGCTTTAGACCTCAGTCTGTATAATATTAAAAGTTGTAGACCAGCAACAAAACATCACAAAACTAATCCCACTAAGTTGCTGAGCATGTAGTTTTACTTGAATTTAATGGATCTCGGTGTCTGAATGAACAGTAGAGCAGCACCGTCCCTGCCGTGCGCACACTGACATCCACTTTAAACAGGAGCATAAATGTTTTTTTGACATTTTTTCACAGTTTTTCAGTGAGTGTCCTACAACTGCGACACTAAAGTCAGGCTGCCTGGCTGCTTTAATTGCTGTTTGCGTCTCTGTGTACAATTACCATACGAGCGATTGTTTCCAGCCAAACGGTCATTGTTCTGAAAAGTTCTTAAGTCTCAGTGAAGCGTGCCTAATGTGTGCACGATCCGTGAACATAATCTGTGTGTGCCGTCCAAAATGGTTACATGTTTTTAGCATACTCTGAACCACACACACACACACACACACACACACACACACACACACACACACACACACACACACATAGCCATCATGGTTTTGACCTTCAGCTGTCTACAGCTCCAACAACTAGTCATCGTGGATGGATTTAAAAGATGAGATCGAGACTGTGTGTGTGCATGTGTCTTTTTTTTTATTCTTAACGACATTTGGGTTTTAAAGAAATTGAGCATGCATACTTGTTTGCAATATTTTCTCAATACGCTTTATTTTGCTGACCTATTATAATCATCCCAATTCTAAGAAAGCACCCACCAGGATTTTCAGATATGTCCAGCTTCCTGAGTGTGCTTGGGACTTGATACAAACTTTTTATGGTATTTTGGAATAGATTTCAAAATAAAAGAAGCATCCTGTGTGTTTTAATGATGTGAAAACTGCAGCAGAAACTAAAAAGTCAAGCCAGTTCCTCCTTCACCAAGAGGTATTTTACATTTCATATAAACAGCACTATCGCAAGAATGCCGCATTGGTTTCAGTAAGCCTTAAATTTAATTGGTGAGTTTGGGCTTTGGGATGTTAATTTAAGCAGACCAGTCTGCAGCAGCCAGGGTCAAATGTGCTCCTAATCTCTGCTACTAGTTGGTCAGCTGGACTAATTAGATATGGGACCACCTGCTAGTCTCATGGTCTATGACATCTGGCTGAACAAAAGAAATAATTAGCCACATGCTTCATAAAAATAAACTGTGCTTGGAACAGTTATCATATAAGGCTGTTTACCTGTCTAGGATTAGAGTTAGTGGCTTGGCGTGTTCTGCTGCTATGTTGCCCAGGCTAAACTCGGATTAAGTCAACGCTAAGGAACACCGAAATTTATTACTGGAACGCTAATTATGAGGCACACGATCATTTTCATAATTCTATCCATATGGGCCTCGTATCCGAAATGGCATAATGAGCAGAATCACCCCCATCATTAGATATACTTTGCTTCGATTGCTGGTTCCAACATGCTTCCTTACCTGTTGGGGTCTCTTGGGTCTTTTTATCTACAAAAGTGGACACAAAGCAAACTTAACATCTTTTTGAGACCTAAAATGACAATTCTTACTTCCTGTCTAATTGCTGTCTGATGAAGAAAGAAGTTATTTGTGCAGATCAGTAGCAAATACATGCTAATTAGATTTGTTAGACCTCACTGACTCATGTGCGCGCCTCTCCAGTAGCAGGTGTCTGCTACGTTCCTCCATTTCCAGCACCACAGCTGAACTTTCTGAACATGGAGGTATTGATTGGCGTATTGATTTTCAAATAAGCTTTCATTGTAGAAAGTAGAAATCCAATTAAAAGTTGAAGTTAATCCACTCAAGACGATGAAATGTATCGATTTTGACCTCAAAATCAATAAGGTGCACGCCGCTCTCGTGAGAGCTCAGTGCTTTCTCCGAAAGAGCGAAGCGCACGCTTTGCATCAACTGAGTAATAGCTCTGGAATGTTATTGGTTTTTTTTCTATCTGCCAGGATATCAAGTTACTGAAAGAAAATTCTTTAAATCCATCCAACTGTGTCAATGCTTGCGCTCTGTTCAAATATATGTAAATCCTACTTTTCCTATGACCCAACTGTAGAAAAACCCATAATTACGCCCATAACAATACCTCATGTCTCTATAGAATATACACCCACTGCCACTTTATTAGTTATGCTTTGCTAGTCTCATTTAAGAGATGCCTTAATTCTTGGTGGCATAGATTCAACAGGAAACATTCCTGAGAGATTTTTGGTCGATATTGGCGTGATAGCATCACAAAGTTGCTGTAGAGTTGTTGGCTGGACATCATGATGCAAGTCTCCCAAAAGGTACTCTGTGAGATTGAGATCTGGTGACTTTAAGGCCACCTTAAAGAAATCAGTTTAAGATGATATGGGTTTTGTGACGTGCTGGAAACAGCCATCAGAAGATGAGTACATGGCGGTCATATAGGGATGGACATGGTCAGCAGCAATAGGTAGGCTGTGGTGGTGTTTCAGCAATCCTTAATTGGTACTATGAGCTACAAAGAAAATATCAGCCACATCGTTACAGCACCACCACCGGCTGAGCTATTGATATAAGGCAGGATGGATACATG